CCCTAAATGTTTCTAGCATTATGGATTTGGTTTCTAATCTTATTTTGCTGTGTAAGCTGCAAAAATGTCAGGTTTTTTTTGATTATTCCTCTGCTTTCTGATTACCCTTTTAAGCAACGCTGATTGCAGGAAATTGCTATGGTGCAAGGCAGTGTCACAACACGCAGTGATTAAAACCCGCATGTGTCATTCACTGCCTGATTGAAGTAATCATACAGAGGGGAAAGCAGAGGAAAAACCTGCAAAATGTGCAGAGGGGGGCTGTTTCTCATCATTCGGGTTTAAGGATTTTGAATTAGAGAATCAAAACTAGTGTGAATGAGGCTTGTGTTTTCAGTCATTTTGCTTCATTCCAAATACTCAGACCTTCTGAGCAGGGCCTGGGTCTCTGAATATGATCCTAAGAAAAATAAGTTGTTGATTTTTACCAAACACATGGCACCCTATGTAAATGACTATAAAATAGTGGTTGAGCATATTAGTGGGAAAGATGCTAGAATATAAATGGGACAAACAGGTGAAAACACAGTGGGAGAAAGAAGCCTGAATAGCTCAGACCAAGTTGGTTTTTTTTTTTTTAATCACTCTTTCTTTTGGTCTGCAAAATGTTGAGAGAGTAATTAACTTCAAATGGCATTTTTATTATTTTAGCTCTACATGGCTCTAAAGCTATTTAAATTATTTGATGGTTCTGAAAAAAATATGAGTTCCATTTGGGCGTGGCAATTTGAAACAGCTAAATATTTGAAACTTGATTTCTTTCTAAATCATGACCAAACCTATTCTCTCCCATCTTCTGCTCTTGTGCTTCCCGTGTGTGACTGAGCATGGAAAGAGAGTGGGTTTGTGGACTCTCATTCACTTGAGGAATCATCAGTGTTACTTGAACAAAGAACATTATGAGTCAAGTACTGTAGTAGGTGTTGAAGGCAATCCACTGATGATTTCTTCCCTTTCTGTCTCCCTCAGGTACAGAACCCTGGTATTTCTATTTAGTTAACGGGTTTCTGAATTTCAATGTAGCCTTTGCTTTGGCTCTCCTGGTCTTGCCACTAACTTCTCTTATGGAATGCCTGCTGCAGAGATTTCATGGTGAGTGGCATAAGAGATGGTAGGTTTTTTAGGAGGAAAGATCAAGTAACAATGTACACCAAGAAGTGAAGAAAAATTCTACTTTATTCTCCATTTTCTTTCTATGGAAATGGTTGGCTTATTGAATTTTCAGTCTGTGTTTGTAGATTATTTGAACCTATGCGATGATTTGCTTAATTGCTACAAATTAAACTGACAGAAGGAGGAGTTTTATAGCCTTTCATGTGAGGAAGTCAGTATAATTTACCCAGTCACCCAGGGAGGCAAAAGCATTTATAAAACCTGAGAAGATAACAAGACCGAGTCTTCTGTCCTTTAAAGAAGTGAGTGTTAACCTGTTAGATTGCTTAAGATAATCCATGACAGAAGCAAACATTTTTCAGGAAATTACTTCAGCCAAAAGTCTGCAAACTAAACCATAGAGGAATTATTTGATACTGAAGTAGGAGAAGCTTTGGCCTTCCTAAGAAGCATGATGCTTCTCTTTGTTCTATTTTGCTTCTGTGTCTGCCTTAATAAGTGGAAGATTTCGTTTGTCATTTATTTTACTTGCTCTGATTCTGTATTGCACGCTGGTGTTTTCTCAAGTTGTCATGGCTCTGGATAACTAGTGCCTATAGTTTCCTTTATGGAAGACAGATTTGAGCAGAAATTCATATGAGCTTTAGAAAGAGACTCAATTTCAGACTTTTCAGTCTGATTTGGATGCCATATGATTGATCCTCCCCCCTCCCCTCGCATTCTGCTTTTCTACTATTAATAGTTTATAAAGAGTTTGCTGTATTATAAGAATATTAGAACAGTCTTCAGATTCACTTTTGCTTTGTTTTAGGACTTTTGTTTTAACATAACCATACTGCCGTTATCCTAACAACTAACAATAATTTCTTTATATCCTCTAACACTCAGTTGATATTCAGATTTCTTAGATCATCTAAAAATACCCCTTTGTAGTTAGTTTAAAGCAGGATCTAAACAAGGCTCACGTACTGAATTTGGTATTATGTTTCTTAAGCTTTAGAAGAGGGCCCCCGTCTTATTTTTTTTCTCCTAAAGATTTCTTAAAGAAACCAGGTCATTTATCTTACATAGTGTCCCACATTTTGGATTCAGCTGTTTGCTCCCTTTAGGTATTAACTTATTCCTCTATCCCCTGTATTTTTCTTTCTTTTTTTTTTTTTTCCTCTTTTTTTTTGTGGTTGGCTGTTACGGTGATCTGAGCCCTTGATCTTGGTGTTATAACACCATGATCTAACCAACTAAGCTAATAGGCCAGCCCTTGTATTTCTTAAGGATCATTTTTTCTTTTTTTGAGAAGTAACTGTTTTTCTGACTATAAAAATAACTTATGCTTGTGGAAAACTTGGAAATGCTTGTGATGTAAAAAAGTGGTATGAATCTAATTTTGGTTTAAAAATGTATAATGTACACACATCCACCTAGGAAGAGAATGAGTGCTTTCTGTTTTTCTTTATACATTTACGTGTATTTTACAATAGAAACAATATATATATATATATTTTTTTGTCTTTTTTTTCGTGACCGGCATTGGATCGCAACCCTCAGTGTCGCGCCCGTACCGGACCGGGACCGGCTACGGGATCGCAACCCTCGGTGTTGCTCCCACACCTCGCTCAGCCATTGAGCGGCTGGTCTGTATGTGGGATCCGAACTCTCGGCGGGAGCACCGCCGCGCTTCCCAAGCGGCGCACTGTAGCAGTGCGCCACCGGGCCGGCCCCGAAACAATATTTTTTTAAAAGGGAAAAAAACATAGAAAAATATAAAGAAGGAAAGAAATTACCCACAATCCCATCATGTATTGTTGTGGTTCTGATTTTGTATATTTTATGGAGGACATTTCAAAATTTTTGGCCATATTTTAAGAAATTATTTGTTAGACTTTGAGGTACAGAAGAGGAAAAAACTGTTTATTTGTTGAAAATAACTAGCTAATTTTTTTTTTTTCCTTTTTGTCTTTTTTCATGTCCGGCAACGGATCGCAACCCTCAGTGTCGCGCCCGTACCGGACCAGGACCGGCAACGGGATCGCAAACCTCGGTGCTGCGCCCGCACCTCGCTCAGCCAGTGAGCGGGAACCAGTCTGTATGTAGGATCCGAATCCTGGGCGGGAGCGCCGCCGCGCTCCCAAGCGGCGCACTGTAGCAGTGTGCCACCGGGCCGGCCCCTAGCTAATTTTTTTATAGTTAAAAAATCCCAACTTAAAATATGTTACTTGGAAAGGTATAAATCCTAAATTATAACCTAAAATCTCATGATAAAATCTTAGAGTGGAAAGTTTAAAAAATAAGCTTGTTATTACAGTTGAAGAATTTTTATCCCTAAAGTATTTCTGCAGCGATACAGATAACCTAGGAATGCTACATTTGTCATTGCTAAAGCGGATATTGATGATAGGACTATTGATCTTGTAATGTGAACTTGCTCATTATAGACATAGTGGGCACCTGGGGACACTAACTACCCTTTGCCAGTGTTTCTTATGGTCTGTTCATTATCACTAACCCCTTTGCTGTGGGTTGCAGGCTTCTCATTCAGTGCTCATGTACTTAACCACAGGAGCTTTCCAGCAGGTGCTTGGGTCTTAGTGTTTATTACATTCCTTTAATTCTTTCACATGCTTTAAGTACATTTTTGTTCCAATTTTGGGATTCAGAGTGGATGGGTACTACAGAAGAGAAAAAATTTAATAAGCAAACTTCCTTTAAGAGTATTTCTGTGTTTGTCTTGAAGCACACTCTGTCATTTGTGGCTTAATGAAAACCAGTGATGGGTTTGAGAATCCAGCTACTTTCCTTTCCTTTGATCTGTAGCTACATGAACAGACCAATTGGTGTATAGGTAAGAGGATTAATGTATCAAACAGAACATAGGATTTAAAACCCAAGAAATGAGTTTATATTATGCTTTTGGATAGTCTCAGGATCCTTTAGTCTTAGTGGCTGAACTCATTAGAGGGAGATGGTTTTTTTTTTCATTCAGTATAGAAATTATTAAGTTCTCTATTACCTATTAACCTGACTTTCATTTGTGTTCTAGCCAAATCCAGTACTGTGCCTCCCTTTAGATTTTGGATCTCTTAAAAGAGTTTAAGGGGAATATTCCTTTTTCTTCTTGATGCCTTTATTACATTGGAGAAAATGTGAATACGAGAGTTGAAACATTTTATGGGGTGCCTTAGGGCACCCATAAAGTTCAAAACTTGAACTTTGAATTTGAACCCATGAGTTCAAATTCGAGCTCATGAGAAAATTGAATCTAAATATGTTGTTTTGTTCTAATATGATGAAAGGTGGATATTTTTCTTTGTCTTGCAGTTCAGAATTTAGGCCATCCATATTGGCTTACCTTGGCTCCCATGTATATTTGGTTTATAATTTTCTTCATCCAGCCTCACAAAGAGGAGAGATTTCTTTTCCCTGTATATCCACTTATATGTCTCTGTGGTGCTGTGGCTCTTTCTGCACTTCAGGTGAGTTTCAGGGAAGAGTATGTCTGTCTCATGCTGTTTCACGTAGCTCACAAAACTTAAGGGCAAATTACAGAATGCTTCTACTTAAGATGTTTTATCCATAACCTTAAACCTGATACAGGTCATGTTATTAAAGCTGTATGTATTGATTGCTTAGCTGTTTATCATACTCTTATTTGCTGATTACGTATTTGCAGTGTTAATTTGTCTCTGTTACTAACAAGAATCCAATTGCTAAGAAAGATGCATTTTTAAGTCATTGTATGGATCCACCATAGAATGGTGGCACCCCTTGGCAGAGCTAATGGAATGTTTGCTCTTCAACTACTAGTTCAGAATAAAACTTGCTCAAGGTTTGGGATTACATCAGGCAGTTAGCAATATGGGACACTTTATAATCCTTGTTTAAAACCTACCCAGGCGAGTTCCTTGACAGAGCTAATCTTATCTTTTTTGAGTATCTCTGTATGGCCTTAGTAGCCTGAGCACTCTTTCTTGCCCTCTGCTACCATTTGTAATTGGCAGGAAAAAAAATTAGAGTGATATGTTTTTACTTAACAGATTTATCGAGGTATAATCTACAAACCAAATAGTTTACCTATTTAAAGTGTATAATTAAGTGGTTTTTAGTATATTCACAGATAAGTGCAATCATCACCACAGTCAATTTTGGAATGTTTTTATCACTTGAAAGCCCCTGTATCCTTTAGCTGTCATTCCCCCTACCGCCTTTTCAATATTTACCCAGCCCTGAGCAATCACCAATCTACTTTTTTTCCCCTCAATTTCCCTATTCTGGAAATTTCATATAAATGGAATCATAAAATATGTGGTCTTTTGTGACTGGCTTCTTTCACTTAGCATAATGTTTTCAAGGTTCAGCCACGTTAGGGTGGTACTTTAAAAAATAATTTTAGTATAAAAATAATTTAATTTCATTGCATATAATTTAGAAAGTGGCAAAAGAAAAATTAATCACACCACCCTAACAAAAACACTTTTCACATTTTCGCATATCACATATCAAGGTTTATTATGGTTGGTAATAGTAAGTGTACGTATAACTCTATATCCCTTTTAATAGTAATATAACATTCTCTATGTTGTCATATCAATATCCATAATTTTAATACCAGCATAATGTTCTACTGAATTGAATATAATGTATAAAATTATTATGTAACATACAATATTTTGAATTGGTTACATATAATGATTGGATATAGTTCATGTTAGAATTTAAATTAGTCATGGTCATTACCAAGGCTTTTAGAATGCAGTTTCTCATTTGCTGTGGGCATGACCATAAAAATGTTCCCCACTAGGTTTTCTGTCTGCTACCTTGCTAGCAATCAGCCTATTGGGAGTATTTTATTAACCCTTTATTAAACTGTTACTCTTTTTACTTCCGTTGCCTAGATGAGCACTGTCCAATAGCAATACAGTGCAAGCCCCCTGTGATTTTCTAGTCAACCGCCACATTTCAAATTCTCACTCAACACAGAGCATGCCTAGATCTCTGGAGCCTTGCAAATGTGCTTTGCCTATCTAATTTGCTAATAACCTCGGGGAAGCTGGCTCCAGAACTCAAATTCTTGGTTACTATATGATCATCTTTGGAAATGTAAACTTACTTTTATATTGCTGTGTAGGGCTGAAAGGACAACTGTGGATTAAGCATCAGTTTCTTTTTTTTTTTCCTTTTTGTCTTTTTTCATGTCCGGCAACGGATCACAACCCTCAGTGTTGCGCCCGGACCGGACCGGCAACGGGATCGCAACCCTCGGTGTTGCACC